ATTCAATCTTTCAACACGCCTTCGAGCAAGTTGGGCGGTAGGACATTGTGTATGATGACAGTATCACCCTCGCAGAGCGGCTCAGAGGTCTCTGGTGAAGTCTCTGCAGTGGCAGGATCATGGTCATCCTTCGAGACCGAGTCCGAGGGGGCGGTGGCGGGCACCGTGACTTCTGGTTCGATGATCTTCGGCTCGAGATCCTTGCCTACGCGTGCCGGGACGACAGGCCCGGGCTTGTTTTGAGCTGCCATGTCTGCCAGTCTGGGCTGCTTGAGCTTTCTGGCTTGTGATGTGTCCGTCCGTGTATCTTTGGAAGTTCTGTACTTGTTTCTGATCGCCTCCAGCTCTAGGATTGGGTCGCGGTCATCAGCTGACGATGGTTTGCGCCTCGGGCTGTTGAGGTCGTGTAAGGACGGCTGGGCATCGGGATCGACCTCCAGCGCCAGGCTATTAGGATCAGAGTCGGGTTCAATGCGACCGCCGGGGGTACTGCCAATTTTGAGAGCAGCCAGCTTCTCATGTAGGTCAGACGTCGACGCCTTGCCACGCACACGACCTGGAATGGGCGGGGTCCTGGCGCCGGCTAGGCCACCAACCTTCTTGTTGGCTGTCGTCCCAGATGAGGAAGACGTGGCTGGTGATGCGACAGCGGGTTTTGCGGACGGAGGCTCCGCCCGAAGCTGTTCAAGGACTGTGCTGCTGCTGTCGACTTCGCATCCAGTAACATCAATGACTGACTGGATGGCGTTCCCTTGCCTCACTTGCGAGCGATAGCCGCAGCAGTCCTCGACGATGGTTATGTCGTAACCGTACATGGCGGCGTCAAGGGCCGTGGCAAAGACACCAATGTTCATCAGGGAACCAGCTATGAAAATGTGCGTGATGAACTTGCCCCGTAGCAGATGAATGAGCTGGCCCGACTTGAAGGCCGAGTAATGCGATTTGATGAAAGTGACGTCGCGCTTCAGCGATGCGTCCTTGACGTTGCCAGGGATTTGTGAGCCGGAGGGCGAGCGAACGCATGGAATGCCGCCGGCACTGAGAAAGGCTTCGGGGTCGGTATCAGCGACGGGAGCTGGGATGAGTTCCACTTTGGGGCCTCGCCGCCGACCGGAGGCAGCTCCGGCAGCAGTGACAGCGCTCGGCTTCGGGGTCTCGTCGGTCGCCAGTATCTGCTCGCCGGCTATGGGCCGCACCTTGTCAAACTCGGAGCATACCCAAATGACGTCGCCCAGCTGGCGAAACGCGTCGGCAAACTGTACAGTCTTTTCGACGAACCCATGGGGCCTCGTGACACGCAGCGGGGCCTCAGCATCGAGAAAATCGCTTTGGAAATCAATCACCAAGAGAGCCTTTCGCTTTGGGAGGCTCGGTAGGGCCGACTGGTCAAACGGGAACATGGTCTATCAATGGGTTCGAGGGCCAGTGGTTGGATTCGTAGCACCAAAGGGCTGAGGCGTAGTGTAGACGAAAAAAGCTGCCAGCATGCGTTGCCTGGACGGAAGAGGTTGAAGGGTGAAGACTTGAGTGAGTGAGTGAGCGGGGTCTCATCAAGCCAGCAGAGGTCGCGTGGCCGCACCTGTCACTGTAGCCCGAGCCGGACAAGGGACATGGCCAAGTCACATCCGCTGGCTGGGGGGTTAGCAAGCAAACGCGAATGGCCGCTGGACAGAAAAGCTTTAGGCCATGTGAAATAAAAGTGTACATAGCTAGGCGACGATGAGGGAAATCTGTAGACCATGCCCACATGTGTGCGTACAGATAGATGCATGGTCAAGACTTGACAGGTACCGAATTTGCAGATACGCGAAAAGAGAGCGGGCGATCAGAAGTCGTGTGACAATTCGAGACTGGCGAAAAGGCAACACTTGTCAAGCCAACTTGCTTCACTGCCGCGGCGTCTTCTTTTCATTGCTCCCTGATGGAACGTCGAAATGGTTCGCGTCGTTCCGTTCAGCAGTTCAATTGCCCCGTCGTAAGCAGATGGGTAAGTTTAGGCACTTGGATGAGCCTTCAGTCCAGATGGCGTTGCACAGGGTAGGTTGAGGCAGCCTTGACCGCACTGGGAGCGTCCTGGTAGGCTCCAGGGAGGTGGTCAGGGAAAGCAGGTGCTGAGGGCGGGTCGCACCTGAGAGCAAAGCGGCGCCCTCTTTACCGCGGAAGGAGGAGTTGTGGCACCTCAAAATCGACATTCGGCTGTCGGCACGACGAATCTCTCATCAAGAAAGGTCAGAAAGGTCAAAATATTGGTCAAGCAACACGAGTAAGATGGTCAAAAGTTTAAAAAGATTGGAGAAGCTAAGCTTCTTGTGGTGATCTCCCCGACCGGAATCGAGCCGGTGACCTTTCGATTGGAAATGATACCAGTTACAGTCGAACGTGATAGCCAACTACACCACAGGGAGTTGTTGTTGGATGCTCGCTTGATCCACACGTACATGCCCCCACAGGCCGTCACTCTGTCGTGCACGGACTGTCGAGCTGGCTAAACTGACATATCCATCAAGTAGAGCACCATGAATTCGGTGACCCATTCACGTCGATTGCGCGTGAGTGTTTTAATTCATCTTTTTGAAGCGTGTAGACATCCACTTCAGTTCTTTCTTGAAGCTTTTATCGTACGACAAGGTAGCCTCTCACCGTGCTGTTACCTTCTGGATAATCCATTCCCCCCTTACACTGTTCGCCCAGTGAGTGTCACTTTGGGTGGCTTTTGGCATGCTGGTTCTAAAAGCAGCGAGACTAGCGGAACTGATCGAGTGACTCGGCAGAACCCACCTCCACTTGCACCGTGCTGCGCGACCACCAACATCCGCGTCAAACGTCGTCACGCCATTAACAACCACCTCAGCATCCGCACCTCGCAGAAGCAACTGAGCCAGGCGCGCCAGTACTCAAACGGTTCCTTTGTAGCCTCTAAATTCGCCCGTTTCCAAGTACAACCCTATCTTGCCGCTCAGTTTGGCTACCCGCCCACTCGAGCCGCCCTTCCACAGTCGACCCTTTCCCATCTTCGCCATGTCAGGAAGCCCACGCAAACGAGGCGCAAGCCTTGAGGCTAGTGACGAGCTTCAGTTCAACAACAAGAGGCAGCGACTCGATTTTGACGGACAGAACGAGGCAGACCAACCTGTCCCTGGGACGAGCTGCGCAAGCTCCTCCGTCACCATCCCATCGCTCGAATACCAATCCCAATGCAGCCTGGAGAGATCGATCGGCCTGGCGTTGAAGCCAGGTAGGATTCGACGGTGCCGAGCCAACATCAATGCTAGCTATGTGTCCCTCGTCGAGACGTGTGCGTTGCGACCACTGCCTTCTCAACCTGACATGATGCTGACGTGCGGTTTCCAGACCTGGCATCCTTCATCGACGATCTCAAGCGCATAGCTCTGGGTGCCCGCAGAGAACAGCCGACACCTGCCGATTTCGAGACCACCATGCGGCGGTTCGCCCTCGTCACGTCCTCGCTGAAGCCCCATCTCAAGAACCCAATTCCTGAAGAAGACCTGACGCCCTCCTACTTCAACGCCCTGCTGAACGACGAGAGTGCAGATGCCGCCCTGCCACTGCTGTCCGATGAGCTGAGCGGCAGGCACGAGAAAGAGGAGAGAGCTCATATACCCAGACCTTTTCCGGAGTTCCCAAGCCTCCACACATATCGCTACACGCCGAGAGAGGACGACAGTGGCCGCGACTCAAAGAAGATTCGCGAAGAGGCTGCCAAGGCCTCGAAGCAGGGCGAGGAGGCCCTCCGCGGCTTGGTGCGCGCGTCCAAGATGCGCAAGCAGAAGGAAGTCAGCGACCTGTCCAAGCGCGACACTATTACCAAATCCCGATATGAGCTCTGGGAGGCAGCTATGAAGAAGTTCGTGAAGCAGGACGGCGGCGAGAGCGGGCAGGTTGAAATCGCCGACCATAGCATGATTGTCAACGCTGATTCGAGATATCTACGGAAACCTGTGCCGCGGCAGGGCAAACGGACCGGAGGCTCCGGGGCGCAAGGACAGTCCGGCGTTGGCAGCTGAGCTAGCACTCTTCTCATGATGGCCACTTGCCGTGGTCCAGTGCCATACATCCAGGGAGACAATCAAGGCAGCCTCGGTTGTATGCACAAGTTTAAGCAGTGGGGGAAGATACATAAGTAATGATACCCGGACGCAGTGTCCATATGTTAGATTGCAAACACTCGCAAGTCTCTACCGATTGATACATCTCAGGCCCGCTGTTCGCATGCCAAACCCGTTTCAAGGACTCAAAAGCCCAGTCAGAGCCCAAGCATTCAAGGCGAGAAGCGTGTTGAAAGTGCCGTGGAACCATCTTTTCAACACTGTTTATCTATACATTGCAGAGAAATATGATGAACTTGAGACTGTGAATGTCGACGTATCCATAATCCCTAGTCCTGAATCCACTTCCGCAATGGGCCTCCACATCGGTTGGGAAGCCCCGCTTGCAGGACTGCAAAGATGGCAGGGGATCTGGGCAAGTGTGCAGCAAGGAAGGAACAGATGGTTGGCTCTCGGTGGAGCCTCGGTGAGGACGTAGGCAGTCGACCACCGAGCTAGCCACGCTGGCTCCGATTGGCTCTAGCCCCACGCGAAATCTGCCCTAACCTCAAAATCCGATTTCCCTCCCACAGAAAGCAACGAATTTTGCTTCAGGACTCCGACCTCTCGAACCTGCAACACCGCGACAATCGTCTCTTCCCTTCTCATCTATCTATCTGTGTCGGTAATCGCGCATTGAGAATGGCTGAGCAGCTGGTTCTGAAGGGTACCCTCGAGGGCCACGTAAGTTGACACCCTATTGTCAGTTCATCTTGCCGCAGTCGGAACTTTCTGGCAGGCAAGATTGGGGTGCAGCGTCGCTCGCGACATGATTTCAAAAAGAAGACTTGCTAACAGCGCCTTTGCAGAATGGCTGGGTCACCAGTCTGGCGACCTCCATCGAGAAGTAAGCGAACCTTCCACGAAACCTTGGTCTCGTCACCCGTCGAGCATCATGGCGGCACGCCCAGATCGAAACGCAGCCTCCAGCGCCAGTCGTACTGAGAATCTTCGATTGCTAACGCCGACACCCTCACAGCCCCAACATGCTCCTGTCCGGTAGCCGTGACAAGACCCTGATCATCTGGAACCTGACCCGCGACGAGTCCCAATACGGCTACCCCAAGCGCTCCCTCCACGGCCACTCCCACATCGTCTCGGACTGCGTATGTTTAACCTCGAAACCACCGACTGAGAGAAGTCACGATTGCTGTGGACAATGGGCTGATGCAGGACTGGCAGGTTATCTCCTCTGACGGCGCTTACGCCCTGTCCGCCTCGTGGGACAAGACTCTCCGCCTTTGGGAGCTGTCGACCGGCACCACCACCCGCCGCTTCGTCGGCCACACCAACGACGTTCTTTCCGTCTCCTTCTCTGCCGACAACCGTCAGATCGTCTCCGGCTCGCGCGACCGCACCATCAAGCTCTGGAACACCCTCGGTGACTGCAAGTTCACCATCTCCGACAAGGGCCACACCGAGTGGGTCTCCTGCGTCCGCTTCAGCCCCAACCCCCAGAACCCCGTCATTGTCTCCTCCGGCTGGGACAAGCTCGTCAAGGTAAGCCGAAACTCCACTTGTCCCATTCGCGACCTCCCACGAGGGAGCACCACAGCAACCCACATGATGCATTGCAACCAAAAGTATTTGCTACTTCAGAGCCTGTTCGCAGGGCCATGAGACCACTATTCACCATATGCACTGATTTTTATTCGAACTGTTTTTTTCTTGAATTCTGCTACAAATTGTTACACGGCATACCTGTCATGGCAAAACATGTGCTGATCAGGACAATTGTTAGGTTTGGGAGCTCAACACCTGCAAGCTGCAGACCGACCACATCGGTCACACCGGCTACATCAACACCGTCACCATCTCCCCTGACGGTTCCCTTTGCGCCTCCGGTGGCAAGGACGGTACCACCATGCTGTGGGACCTGAACGAGTCCAAGCACCTCTACTCTCTCAACGCCAACGACGAGATCCACGCTCTCGTCTTCTCCCCCAACCGCTACTGGCTGTGCGCCGCTACCGCCACCAGCATCATCATCTTCGACCTCGAGAAGAAGAGCAAGGTTGATGAGCTGAAGCCCGAGTTCACTGCCGTCGGCAAGAAGAGCCGTGAGCCCGAGTGTGTCAGCCTGGCCTGGAGCGCCGATGGCCAGACCCTCTTCGCCGGCTACACCGACAACGTCATCCGCGCCTGGGGTGTCATGTCCAGGGCGTAAAGCACCTAGACATGATGAGTAAAGGGCATTGTGTGATGACGTGGAACTTCGGCTGAAGCAGGGGATGGAGGACTGGAGATGATGGTAGATCATGGCGGGCGTCCTAGGCTGGCTTCCTCGTTTGGTCTTTCGGATGCACAGGGTTGGTCAATCAACATCGTTAAGGGGATGGATGATTGCACGCTGGCTAAAAAGGTAGCCATCGAACGGAGACTGGGCATCAACCCAGAAGACGACCCCAATGAAAATCCTGGCACATGAACCAAAATCCGTCCAGTCAAGTGAATGTGAACGTAAATGTTTGGTCCTTTTGAATCTCGCTGTTATATGTATCAGTTTACCGATGCTGTTCAAATGTCTGTAGTGTATGGCAACGTGTTGAGATTTAACAGGTGAAGGGGCGAGTGTGCTAGTTCGTACGTAAGTTGGAGATACTACATCTCTGTAGGACCTTGTTGGTGACACAAGTATCACTTGAGCCTCAACTCCCAAAGGCATGTTCGCAACACCATATGAAGCCTCGGCAGGGTTGTACTTTCATGAGAGTACGATCAATGTCCTGAGACATGTTCATCGTAAATACGTCATGCACATGTTATCCATGGGTGAACCCAGAGCCAGAATAATTTTCAAAATTTCTTATTGAGCAGCACTAGTACTACCTTGAAGGGTTCATGTAACAGCACCCGTGTGATGCTTCAGTGACGAAACGACAGCATATCCGTGCCTCGGTTGTGCGAACCAAGGCCATATGTAGATGGCGTTTTATCTGCAAAGTCTTGTGGAATTTACACTCTATTTTCCCTGCTCCTGGTACACCTATGTGCTCGGTTCGTCGCTCGAATCTCCCAGGTGCACTGTTGCCTTCCTGTTCAGACCAACAAAGTAGCCCTCTTTCGAGTCCTATACCGAGGGTCAGTATCTTCAGTAGCACGTCGCTATGCGGGAACTAACTCACTTTCCGCGATGACTCGGGCTTGTCCCTGAATACCTTGGCGAAGAGCTTCCGCAGCTGTTTCTCCAGCTCTTTGTCCTCTGCGCCCTGGTAGAATTTGCACACAAAGTGACCGCCAGGCTTGAGGGTATCGCTGGCAAACTGGAGCGCTGCGTAGCAGAGGTCCTGTTTCGGCCCCGCATTAGAAACACGATAAGAGACCAAAAGTCGTTCCACTGACCATGCTGCCGACGTGGTCTTTGAAGGTGACGCCGCTTGTGTTCATCATCCTGTTGTAAGGATTACTAAGTGTGTTCACGCCGAAGCCGGAAGTTTGGTCCCATGGGGCTGACATGTCACTCAACACAACCTTTCGCCGAGTTAGCTTGGGTAAGCCTAGGCGTTCAAATCACACGGCAGCCGCGGAAAGGGAGCCAACAGGGCCGGCAGCGTAGAAGCAGAGAGACACATACGTTTACCAACTTCAAGCTCTTGCTCGCCTCCTCGGCTGTTGTCGGGTCTGCCGTCTCCGCCCGTTCCAGGTCGATGTAGCTCGGTTTGTCTTCGACAACGGTGTTGAGGGCTGGCTCATCGCCGAGAGACTCAACTTCGCCGTGAGACTGGTCGCCGGGTTGCGCAGCGCTTACTGTCGGTTTCTTGTCGGGGCGGCGGCGTCGTTGTGCCCGGACCAGAAAATCCTTGACCATACCTTGTACTGCTGGCGAGAGAAAGTCGCCCTGGATAGTAGACACACCTCGTGGTGGTTGTGCCGGGATCAGGTCAATCCCGAGAACACTACCTGAAGGCTTCGTCCGCTCCACCGCGACCTGGGACCAGCTCCCTGGAGCATAACCCTTGGCTTTCCATCAGCACCGAGACACATGTGAAGTGAGTGGGAGGTCTTACGAGATCTACGACTACCTGATCCTTCTTGAATATGCGGTACTTGCTATCCAACTAGGAGCGACAGTTAGTGGCTGCGTATTCTCACAGCATACTTGTGTTTAGGTGGACATGGCCATGTGGTGACCAAATTTGAGTGTACCGACCTCAAGAAGCTTAAAAGCAGCACGGCTCTTGAGTCCCTGCACTCGAGCCTCTCGTGCAAAAACATCATTGCCCTGACGTGCCTTCCATCGACTGTTTGATGACGATAGACGGCATTGATTCTGTGGCCCTTTTCGTTGAGGAAGGATGGTAAGTCTGGACGATATTGGAATCGTCACTTTTGATGACGTGGGAAGGCGTCGAAAATGAAACCTGCCAGCCAGGCTGCTGCTCATGGCTTATAGCTGGTTACTAAAAGAATCTCAATCAAGTATGGTATATTATATTAATGGCGAGCAGCTTGTGGCAGAAGAAATGAAGGATGGACGATTAAATCAATGCTTTGTGATTTCATCAGTCTCTTCCATGTTCAACAACATACCTACCTATCAGTGAACTCTCCAAGGCCCAAGCTCCGGCGATATGCTGACTAAGCCACAGACGAATGAGATGAACTTGCGATCTTCAAGTCCAGAGCCTTACAAGTGAAGAGGTATGAATAAGGGATTTGATTGTTACAAGAGGTTTCGGCAGCTAGAATCAGTCACGTTACTTCAAGGTTTGGCTCTTGTGGTACAAAGTTCTTGTCATTTACTTTCCTCAATTAGGAACGTAATATTCGTATTGCACAAAACGTGCAACATACCATTAACCTGCTGTGACACCCCAGTCACAATAGTACGCCGATTAATGCATCCCTACACTTCAAATCAATAACGCCAAACTGGACCAAAGTCCTGCCAACCTCAAACATGTCCCGGACCAAGACCTATACAAGAAAACTCGCGCCTACGCCCCTACGATCTTTCTTGAGGGGAGAGAACGCCGCCCCAGCAAAGGCCTTGCGAGCCATGCCCAGCTTGGGGTTCTTCAGAATCTTGCCCGGTCCAAGCTTGATTTGGTTGCTCCTCTTGACCGGTAGATCTACAGGCTCTGCGTCTTCCTCGTCGAATATCGTCTTTGAGCTGTCACCGATCAGTTTGCGCTTCTTCTTCTTCTCGAGAACCCGAACAGCTGGCTTGACGGCCCCGTTCTCGACAGAGGCGTCAAGAGAGGGGTCTGAAACATCATGCGCAGCGCTGACTGTACCGGCTGCTGGAGCTTCAACTTCAGTCGATTCCTCAGTAACCTGCGTCAGCACCGCAACGTTCCTTGCAGCCTTCTTCATCTTGTCTGGCCGAGCGACTGCGCGGGGTGGAATGTTGGGGGACGTCGACGCAAGAGCCTTCTTAGGCCTTCCTCGAGCCTTGCCTTGCTTTCCTTCAGCTCCGGATGTGGCAGAGACGAGCGCCCTCTCCACGTCCTTAACTGCATCCACAGCCTCGGCCTCAGCCCTCCGGACCGTTTCGGCATGAGGAATATGGCTCACATCCGCTTCATCTTCCTCTGCATCCTCGTCCACAGACGCGTCGACGTTCACACCCTTGGTGCGATTCAGGAAAGGCGTAATCGAGAATGTGGACTTCTCTCCAAGTAGCGTTTGGTCAAGCCCTCGTTTCTTAGCGGGTCGGCGAGATTTCCAATCGCCATCATTAGTGGCCTCAGTTGTGATGTCCTCAGCACCTAGATCTACAGCTCGTCGTTTCTTCGTAGCGTGGTGATCGGGTCCTGGTGCGCGGCTTGCGCCCTTGAGGTTCGTGGCATGTGCCTCTCGCATGGCCTCGAGCTCCGCTTTGGATCCCTTCAGTTCGCTTTGAGTGCTTCGCAACTTCGTCTTGAGGCTGTCCACCCTGGACTCGAGGTTTTCATTCTGGGCCTGCAGCTCAGACAGCGCAACTTCAGCTTCCTTCTTCGCCCGCTTGGCCTCGTTTTTCTCAGTCGCCAATAACTTCTCGAGTTCTTTGACTTTTGCCTGCAGTTCTGCGTCCGCGGCGGTCCTCTCCTCTTGTGATCGTGAATCGTCTTGCGCTGATGCAAGTTCTTGACGAAGTCGTTCAGATTCTCGTGTTTCGACTGCCAATCGGGTTTCGAAATACTTCAGCTTCTGCTTTGTTTCGTCGCCGTCGGCTCTTTCAAGCTCGTGCTTCTCCGCGGATTGTAACCGAGCACGCCTTTCGGCGGCTAGCTCAACTTCAGCCGAGTTGAGTTGTCGCTCCAAAGACAGCTTTTCCGCAAGCACAGTCTGTTGATGTGCCAGCTGGGAACGTAGGTGCTCAAGTTCCGGTTTCAATTGCGCAATTTCGCGACTGAGAGCCAGCTTTTCGGCTAGCACCTTGGTGGAATCCTGGGCTGTGTTGTTGAGCGACTCGAGCTCCATCTGCAGACAATGCGTCAATGGCGGAATGGAAGATGATCTAGAGCCGTTTAGCACATACCTTGAGGTGTGAGGCTTCCCGTGCTTGGGTATCGAGGGCTTTTTTAAGCTGGCGATAGGCTTGCTTCGCTGCCTTCACCTCCGACTGTGCCTGTTCGAGCTGTCCCGACAGCTGAGTGATCTGGGACCCGCAGACCTTCAGGCGCTGTTTCAAAGCATCATTGTCGTCTGCCAATAGCTGCTTTCGTACCCTCAGCCTCCGTGTCTTCTCGTCATTGACCACAAGCTCGGATTGGTGAAGTTGGCTTTGATGCGCCATGGTGTGCTCGTGAATACGCTGCTGACGCTAATCATCGGCTCAGCTCCTGGCCGTAGTTATTCGCTGATTTAGAGATTTCATACCTGCTCAGCGTCCAGAAGACGGGTGTTGACAGGCATCGCGCCAGTCACGTACGCGTACGATGTGGTGGGGTACGTGATACTGTCAGATATCTGTCATGGGTAACCTGAACTTGAGTGCTAAAGACGCGACGAAAGACGCCTTTATCACAGACAAGAGCAGGATAAGACTGTAGAGTATGGAAGATCCGATGCGTGGACGTTGTTCTGTAAGAGATCTTACATCTTCGTGTGTTTGGATGTTGAGCGTGGCGTAAGTAAACATGATTCCAAGAATGAACTAGTGTCACTGTCATGTGACCGCATGAGCTCTTGGCTGGAAGTGCACACCTACCCCACGTAACTCACACAGACAAGGCCCCAGAATGCCTAGTATGCGCCAATCAGGTCGACAGCTAGTCGATTCGAGAGTTGCAAGGTACGTACCCTCTACTCTGGTCCGCCTGCCCAGTGCTCCTGCCCAAAGTGTCCAGTACGACCTCCAATTGACACATGCACCAGAAGTACCGTGGTGGAAGCCACATCGTCAACGTCAACGTCAACGCCCACCACGCACCAGACAATTTTTCCGGCACGCGGGACTGTGCACCGCATTGAATACAGTCACAAACCATCGTTCGTCGATCTCAGTTCAGCCCGCCATGCGTTGGTTTTCCTCCCTCCTTCGCCTTGCGCTTCTGGCGTCAGGAGCTCTAGCGGCCGCCAAGTCGTCAGAGGAGCGCTTCCAGGACTTCCACACCAAGGCACTATCGTCCTCGCCCGTCAAGCTCAACGACAAGACTTTCAAGCAGATCACTGCATTGCCGCGTGATTACACCACCATGGTGTTGCTGACGGCCCTCGACTCCAAGTTCGGATGCCAGCTGTGTCGCGAGTTTCAACCCGAGTGGGACATCCTGTCACGCAGCTGGACCAAGGGTGACAAGAAAGCCGAGTCCCGCATGATCTTCGGAACTCTGGATTTCGCCGATGGCCGGGATACATTCATGTCGGTAAGTAATCCGAACGCCCAGGGTGCCTTGGAGCTTGCGAGCACTTCCAGACAAGTCGGCTAACGTAACGTTCTTGCCTAGCTCGGACTTCAAACCGCACCTGTTCTACTGCTGTATCTGCCTACTATCGGACCCCACGCTGTCGCATCTTCCGAGCCCTTGCGCTACGACTTCACCAGCGGGTATGTCTAATTGAGACTGGAATGTATCTCCTGAGCCATATCACTAACTTGAACAGACCCCAGGTTGCCGAACAAGTCCACTCGTGGCTCGCTCGCCACATGGTCGGCCGCCCCCAACCGAGCGTGAAGCGTCCCATCAACTGGATGCGATGGATCTCGACTGTTGTCGTCACGCTTGGCCTGGGTACTGCCCTCATCACGGCTTCTCCTTACGTCCTTCCTGTCATTAGGAGCCGCAACCTCTGGGCCGTCTTCAGCCTTATCACGATCCTCCTATTCACCAGCGGCTACATGTTCACCCTGATTCGCAAGACACCGTACGTTGTCGGCAATGGCAAGGGCGGCGTCACTTACTTCACTGGTGGCTTCCAGAACCAGCTCGGCATGGAGACACAGATCGTCGCTGCCATTTGTAAGTTGCCACCAAACCCTTCAATCACGGGTGACTTGACTAATGCACTCCCAGATGGTGTCCTAGCATTCTGCGCCATTGCGCTGACTGTGAAGGTGCCGCGAATTGCTGATCCTAAGAAGCAGCAAATAGCCATCTTGGCTGGTGCTGGCGTCATGTTCATCATGTACAGCTTCCTTCTCAGCGTCTTCCGCATCAAGAACGGCGGATACCCCTTCTCTCTGCCCCCTTTCATGTAGATGGCGGCAGATGAGATGGCCAAAAGGGCCGATGAGCCCGCAGAAAAGATCCACCACAGTATTGCATCCCCAGCTTCGTGGCCTTGCACCAGGATAGTACTATAGCAACGCCTGCCTGAGGAGCTCAAAAACTGGCTACTAGAGCTTCAAAGTCTGCATGTCCAAAAAAGGGGCAGACGGTGCACGGGAGGGCCGATTTGTATCAGTAGGAACTGGCAGGCAGCGCGGCTCAAGGCACGCGAGAGGGTGCCTGCGTATTTAGAAATGACCAGTCCTTAACCTCGCCACGCATGACTCGTATTGTGATCGTACGGGA